ATATGGTATAATTGCCTGCTGGAGTAAATTATCTATTTTTGCAAAATTATAGTACAGACTGCTATTGATAGAACTGAATGCTCCAAAAAAGCTACTTAATTTATATCTGTTCCTGGTACCACAAAAAAAAAAATTCATCAGTGTATGTGTGATTATGTTAGAAGAAAAGCTCACACAACAGAAAATGTCAATTATAAAACGCTAATTTTTAACATAATAATATAAATATTATACACATTAATTATTGGTTGAATATAATCTATTTGATAAATTAATCACTGGTATAGATGCTTTCTTTTCACCAGGCAAACGTAAAACAGTTCTACAAAAAGAAAAACAGAATAGTAAGCGTTGCTACACGGTCTGTCCACATAACGGTCGCCCTTTCGTTATTCCGTCACGATTTATGTTGTTTTGTGATTCTCTTGGCGTTCGTTATATAATGTTTATATTCTAATGTGAATTTATATCAAAGGCATTATAAGAACTTAAGCTTGAATTAACATTAAAGTAAGGCGTTTTCCATACTGACTTTTAAAAAGTAAATGGCGATCGAGCACATTAACATGACTACGTATGAGAAAACTACCGAAATCAGAGAAGAAAAGATAATCCAGTATAATGTAAACTCATTTTATCGTTCATGTATACTTTCCTCAAAAGGTAAATTCACACGTGTCTGAGAGGTCATATTTTCGCTCTAATGTAAACAGAAACCAATCTTCAATGTCAATATACGCGAATATCTGTATTTTAATGTGAGTTCACACTAAACGAAAATTATAAAGAATTTAGTTTGAATTAACATTAAAACAAGGTGTTCTTTCAGGCTGACTTTTACAGTAAAAGTGTCGATAGAGCAGATTAACATTAATACAAAGAATAAAACTACCAGAAAAGACAAAGTGGGTAGTATTAGCTTAGATTATAATGAAAAAATAACCGAAGATAATGTTAATTTACCTTACACTTTTTACAGTGTAGGCCGTTTTTACACCATTAACAGGCCGTTGTTTGGATAACCATTAACGAATCAATATAAATGATCTGTGAGGGTACTTTTACAAGATTTTAAAATTAATTAAGATTTTAACAAATCAACAGAATTAAGATTTAAAATTTTAAAAGATTTTTTTATCAGCTTCGTTGTTTCTGACTGTCCACCCATTTACAGTTTCGTGGGATTCTCGTTCTACGTAGAAGTTCATTAAGAGCTTTGTGAAATTTTAAAAATCTCCTCCACTAGAGTTCATGAAAGTCCACGAGAAATATTCACCGCTTTGTTTTGTTGATAGTCCATAAAACACCGCTCACCTTTGCAAGTAAGATTCTCAAGATCTAAAGTTTGATTCGGTTAGTAGTTTTTTACCAGAGTATGACTTATATATTAGCCTAGATCATATTTGCATCATAATCAGATGTCCAAATGCTAATCAAAATTGCAAAAAAGTTTCATTAAAATATCAATTGCTAATAGTAAGAATAATATCCTTCATAAGTTATTAAGATAAACATAATGTTTTTGAACATGATAAATTAGTTTTATTCACCCCAAACTCAATCCCTGGCTTTCAAACTATATGTACTATTCTTTTTTATTTATGAGAAATCCAGCTAATCAACACAACAATTTTTAAATCTTTTTTACTTAAAATAAATATACTTTTTTTTATTGGCGTAAACAATTTGTTTTTTTGTACTTTTTATTTTTTGTCATTGCGTAGTTTTATTTCTCTTGAGGGAATGGGTTCAAAGAACTCTTGTTTTTAAAGTGTTTTACAACAACGGAAGCTACTTAGAAAACATGGGCTCATTGAGATGCAGAATATTTTTTCAATGAAGATGAATTGTTATGAAATCAAACTCAATATTATAAGAGATCATTCCGATTCTCATTCGTGATCATGATGGCAGAACAGATGTATTTGGAATAAAAGACGAGAAACTTAAGTGTCAATTTATAAAAATATTTCTAAAATATTGTATGAGCGAAAATTTAACTCGCAGAAGTTAAAACCAGATGAACTGCTGTATAAATGTCAGTCGCTGAGTAGATTTCATATTCTTACTCTTTTGGAAATTTCATTAGATAAAGAAGTATTTTCTCTTTTAAGAATAGAAGTATTATTCTCTTTTTTGTAGAGATGGAAGAAGATACAAAGTTTGTCCCGCGATGTTTTAAGATATGAAAAGTTATACTGATCAGAGATGCAACCGGACCAGGCCACCGGTCCCGATTCAGGCGAAACTTATCAGTCGGCTCATTTGACCGGTTTCGGTCAAATCGGTGAACCAGGCTCGCTCAGCTTATAATTAAAATATATGATCGAAAAAAAGTAGATTCAGTAGCATTTTGTACTGCTCAGAAAAAGAAAATAATTACATTCATTATTCTCTGCTTGAAATATTCATATTTTTCACCATCCCATAAGAGTTCTTGGAACCAGTCGATTATCGGTCGACCGGCTGGTTCGATCAGCAGGTATCTGTCCGGTACTCAGGGAAGAGTTGGGTGAGATTGAGCCCGAAAAGTATTTTCATTCTAAAAGGTCATCGGCTCCGTAGAAAAGTAAAGGAACTAAAAGACTTCATGGACTAAAAGAGTGACAGATATAAAAGTACGAAAGTATAATAAGTATAATAAGCTAAAATGAGAGCGTGCGGCCTTGTATGTAAGCTAAAAGGATATCAGGACAAATTTTTGATCATCTTCCGGTCCTCCTCTTTTGGAAATTAATAAATATGTAAAAAAGAAAACATATCCCTAGTGGAACTTCTTGTAACCAAGATCTTGACTTCTTGGTGTTTTTTCCAAGATCTTGTAACATTTCTTAACCTAAGATCTTGGGTACAAGAAGTTTCACTAGGGATCAACTTTATCCGTGCGAAACTATTTTCAGAGAGCTTTATATGACATATGTAGTTAAAGGTTGCTGAACATAGTAAGATAAAGTTCATAATAACTCAAATTTATCTAACTAATCGTTGTCGGTGAATATAATTCAAATGTTGTTGGTTAATTGAATGTAATCGAATACCTTTTGCAGATATTATTAATGGCTCTTGGTGTTGATAAACAGTAGCAATTTTTGGATTAATAATAGGAGGAGGGATGGTGGCAATTGTTGTCTGAATATCTGCCGATATTGTTGAAATTTTATTTGTTGAAAATCTCTTACTTGATTTTGGACGAATTGGTTGAGGTGATGAATATTGTGAAGAATAAATAGAACTATTACTATTAACAATTGTCTAAAATAGAGAATAAACCAAAGTTTTTAAACAGAAGTTCATAACATATTATTTCTCTTGATCATCTTACCAGCATAGGAAAAAAATCTTGTAGTTGTGCTTGTTGAATAATTGTGGGTGTTGGTGTCGGTGTATTTTGATCAATAGGAATCGTGCTTGTAGCTGATGATCCAGCATGTTTCCACCATCTTGATGCTGTATTTTGTAAATGTTGTTGAACACGTTGTTTAGCTGATGTTCGACTACTTGTTGTTGTATCACTTTTATCCGAGCCGTTTATTTCGCCTAATTTTATTTTATTTTGTAATGTGTGCAATACATTTGTTAAATTAGTTAATGTAATATATTCTTTTTTACTACTAATGCTACTAATTTGATCTAGTTTTGTTGCTGAATTATACCCTTCAATAGTGGATATGGGTTTGTACTGCTGATTAACATCTTGATCGCTTTCCACAGATTGATGTTGTCGAACGCCGAAAAAAGAATTTTTTTGTTGTCGTGAACGTGCTTTTTGCCGTTGAGGTGGACGAATAATCGGTTGAATTTGTGGACAGATTATTTGAAGATCATTAGCATTTAATGGCAACTGTTGTGCGGGATTAGTAGCTTTAGTTGTTTTATACTGAAAAAATGTTTTGAAACAAGGATTTAATTGTGAAAAACGTTCTCGACGAATTTCCATATTTGTTGTAAATAATTGTTTTATTGAAATTCGATTGATTCTGAATTCAGATCTCGTGGTGATAATAATGAAACAAAAGAAGAAAGAAGTAGAATCGACGCTCGTTTCACTTGAGTTGCGTTTATTTGTAGTTAACTGTTAAACTCGACGTAATTTCATTCTTTTTTCTCTTAATATTGTTTTAACGAATGTCTTTGTTGATTTTATTGAACAGCTACCACTATCATTGAGGTTTAGAAGAAATATTTTGTCGTTCTTCTAATTCAAGTATCACTGTTTAAATAAATACTAAAAAGAAAAAAAAAAAAGAAGAGAAAAGAAGTGTCAACTAAAAATATGACAAATAATAATTGAAATTTTTTGAAGTTACAGCAATAAAAGTTAAAGTTGATTTTCTTTTTTTTCTTTATTTATTACAGTTAATCCCGTTTGTTTATCGTCTTAATTCGACACTTGTTAAAAAATAATAAAAACTAAATACAGATTTATCATCACCAGCTCAAAAACTCAATATTATTGTTAATATTGTCTATATTTGGAAATTTATTGTTGTTCTTTCAGTACTATAAACAAATAATTGTGATATTTTGTACGCCTTGCCGTCAAATAAAATAAGTTTCGTTTGAAAATGTCAATCAAGAACATTTCTCCATTTAGTATACATCGTAGTATACATTTAACATAACTGTTTTTACGAACGTTTTTTATTTTTATCAGAAAACCCTTTTGGATGTTTTAGAATATGAATAAGTCGTGATTCAATAAAATCCTCATTTTTTTGGTATTTTAAAATATCTGAAAGGTTTTTTCTGACACGAAAAAATTTCAAACGTTTTTCCCAACATAGTTTAGCCAGATTTTGTGCAACTAGAATAAAAATCGGATTGAAAATGGAAAAAATGGTACCAGTAGGCTCAGAACAGAGCATGGATACTTGTACTTTCTGTACTTTTCTAGTACAAGGTAAAAGTACTTGTACTATAAGCATTTTTATTATCGCCAACAAGGGAACCTCGCCAGGTGTCCCACTCTGTTTAAGCTCATATTTTGCTGATCGATAGGGCACATTAATGTAACAAAAAACCTAAAAGGATCTGGACCCATGCGTCTTCCTTCCCGAGTTACAATTGACTTACGATGAACAGTATTCTACTGTAACACCTTTTTCAATCGTTCATACGTCGATCGATAGAGCGTATGGGGATAGTAAATGCCTAAAGGGTTCGTGCCAATGACTCTTGAATACCCAGTTTTCTGGAAAATCAGTTTTTCAGAAACTCTGAAAAATAATCAAAACCTTTTCTTAGTGAGACATGATTGCAGCCCGCAAACTTCTGATTAAAATGAGACAACTCCCAGTCCTTTCTTTCCAAAGTTACAGAATTTACAACAAAAGCCCTGAATTAATTTCTTCTGCTTCTGTAGCTTTGAGCTGAAAATGAACATTTAGGGCTTTTGTTGTAAATTCTATAACGTTGCACAGAAAGGTCGTGTAGAGCTGGGAGATGTCTCATTTTAATCAGAAGTTTGCGGGCTGCAGTCATGTCTCACTAAGGAAAGGTTTTGATTATTTTTCAGAGTTTCTGAAAAACTGGGTATTCAAGAGTCATTGGCACGAACCCTTTTAGGCTTTTTACTATCCCAATGCCCTATATCGATCGACGTATGAACGATTGAAAAAGGAGTGTTATAGTAGAATAGTGTTCCTCGTTAGTGAAGTTTCGGTTTTTGGTATCACTGTAACGCACTATTCCAATGGGTTATAGAGCTGAAACTCGCAGCAATATTAGTCCTAAGCAAAGCCCATATGCTGCCAAATTTTCTGACCTTAGTCTTATGTCCTTCGTGAGAAATCTAATTTTTTGATTTTTATAGGTTTTCTGCACCGCCTTGCGACCTGAATATGAAATAATTGTTGTTTTCGTTTTCAAGTTTGCTTTGATACTCATAAGTTGATAAAATCATTTATTATCTCGATTAGAGTGCTTTTCAAGTGTTTGCGCTATTGAATTACACGATTAGGTTTTTTTCCATATTCCGGTCGCAGGGCGGTGCAGAAACTCTATGAAAGGCAGAGGATTAGATTTCTCAGAAAGGACATAAGACTAAGGTCAGAAAATTGTGCAGCATACGGACTTTGCTTCAGCAAAATCGATTTTGCTATCGATCAGCAAAATATGAGTTTAAACAACATGTTGGGATTACAGCCTAAACATTTTGAATCAAAATGAGACGCTTCCCAGCTCTCCACGGCCTTTTTTTGCAAAGTTACAGAATTTACAAGAGTATTTCTAGAAAACCGGTTGTCCAGAGAAACGCTAGGAAAGGTCTATGGGCACAAACGCCTATCATATTCGTAATCAGCGCTCTTGATTACATATAAATTGCCAGGTTTGAACAAAATCAGAGTGCCTCATTTGGGAATGTTCTCTTGTTAGAAGAGAGTGAAACATACACGGAAAGTGTTGAAAGTCTCTTAGAATCCGATAAAACAGAGGAAAACATCACCACAGTCTCAGAACTACCTCTTGGCAACCGCTACATATGAGGTGCAATGCAGGATCTTCTGACACAATTTTCTCGAAGGAATGCGATGCATTCTACTTTGACACAAAAATTTGACACGATTTTTTAGTGTCCACTTTGATGGCGTTAGATGGAAAATAAACGACTATTATTGACCTTTGGGTCATTTTGTAGTCGGTGTCTCCCATACTAGAACAGTCATTGATATCGATAATAGTACAAATCGACCTGGTCTTTAACTAAAGCTACAAAGACCCATGCAAAATGCTTGATTGTGGACAGAGTTGGGCTGAAAGTTGATTGTAGAATGATTACTTCAAAACTGGATTCTCCGAGAAGCTCTGTTCCGCACGTTTTTTCGCGTAGACAACTGGGGGGGGGGCTTTTATCTCATTCACTACTACTGTAAAGTCCACGGGATCCTATCTTTCTGATCTCATCTCATGCATATCTGGGCGGAACTATATGGCATTATGAGAGAGCTTGAAAAATCGACTTTTTTTGCGCCAGACGGATCGAGCTGAAATTTTGAGAAATGAATTATGATTATTAGTTACACATTTTGTGAAAGTTTCATCT